ATTGTCTTAGCTATCAAATTGGAGCCACCATGGAAGCCCAATATTAGCTATTATTGTAGTTTAATTTAAGAACATGGCCAACGCAGTTTCTCAAGCTTCTCTCTCTTTGGTGGGAAGTGGGGTCTCATCCATATCTTGTTGGGAGCTTTAGTTTGATTAAGAGAGCAACTGAACTTATCAGAATGAAGAAACAGGCCAGGCAACATAATTTTTAACTGCACATAGTGACTCAAGCAGTATAGGTTGGAATCACAGAATAAATTCATCACCTCTAAAATGGTTTGTTCATTGCCTTTCCCACCAGATTATTTCTGTGTGATTCACTAACTACTCATTGCTCAAAAAACATTTATTTGAAATAAAGAAATGAATGAAATCTTTTCCATTTTTTTCAGAAAATTGACTACCAGATGACTTTCAGTTTAAGTGAAAAATGAGCTTCTCCAGAGAAGAATAACCCTACAATTAGTCACCTTTATACACCTAACATTTGGCACAGAGTTGAAGCTTAATAAACCTTAAATAAATGAATAAGGGGAAGAATATAGTGTGACAACTAGTGTGTCAGATGCCACCAGTGGGTTCAAGCTGAGGGATGTGGGATCTATCAAAACTCTGGTTCATGACATCGCGTAATTTTGGTTTGAGGCAAGAGACATACTCTTCAGCCTTCAACCTTAGGCCTGACCTACCAGTTGAACTATTGGCCTCACAGATAAATATCACGTCACATGCTCCTGGGGAAGTAACTTAACCTCAGGCCTCTAAGTCCATTTTATGGACACCAGAGCAGTACATCTGTTCAAGTACTCTTTGAAGGCTGCCAAAGCTTGCTTCCAAAAAGAAAGATGTCATTGTAAATACTCTTACCCATGGATGGGAAACAGAAGGTTCTGGTGAATGAGTAGAAGAGTTTCATGAATGCAAGTTACACATAGATAACCAATTTTGAGAGAATGAGAATTTTTGACTATAAACAAAAGCCCATTTTACCACTTGTTAATTCTGTAGTATTGGAACCTCAAACTCTCTAACCATTTGTTTCTTCATTTGTAAGAGGAAGATGATAATAGCATCTCTTTCATAGAAAGAGCACCACGCATACTTAGTACTTATATGCATACTTAGTACTTAGTGGTACTTACATGCATACTTAGTACTTAGTAGCAGCATACTTCAGCACATGCTTTATACTATTGAAATTAATCTATTCACCAGAAACTATAAAACTCCTAGAGGAGAACATAGGCAAAACACTCTCCAACATAAATCACAGCAGGATCCTCTATGACCCATATCCCAGAATATTAGAAACAAAAGCAAAAATAAACAAATGGGACCTAATGAAACTTAAAAGCTTTTGCACAACAAAGGAAACTATAAGCAAGGTGAAAAGACAGCCCTCAGATTGGGAGAAAATAATAGCAAACGAAGCAACAGACAAAGGATTAATCTCAAAAATATACAAGCAACTCCTCCAGCTCAACTCCAGAAAAATAAATGACCCAATCAAAAAATGGGCCAAAGAACTAAACAGACATTTCTCCAAGGAAGACATACAGATGGCTAACAAACACATGAAAAGATGCTCAACATCACTCATTATCAGAGAAATGCAAATCAAAACCACAATGAGGTACCATTACACGCCAGTCAGGATGGCTGCTATCCAAAAGTCTACAAGCAATAAATGCTGGAGAGGGTGTGGAGAAAAGGGAACCCTCTTACACTGTTGGTGGGAATGCAAATTAGTACAGCCACTATGGAAAACAGTGTGGAGATTTCTTAAAAAGCTGGAAATAGAACTGCCATATGACCCAGCAATCCCACTTCTGGGCATACACACCAAGGAAACCAGATCTGAAAGAGACACGTGCACCCCAATGTTCATCGCAGCACTGTTTATAATAGCCAGGACATGGAAGCAACCTAGATGCCCATCAGCAGACGAATGGATGAGGAAGCTGTGGTACATATACACCATGGAATATTACTCAGCCATTAAAAAGAATTCATTTGAATCAGTTCTAATGAGATGGATGAAACTGGAGCCCATTATACAGAGTGAAGTAAGCCAGAAAGATAAAGACCATTACAGTATACTAACACATATATATGGAATTTAGAAAGATGGTAATGATAACCCTATATGCAAAACAGAAAAAGAGACACAGATGTATAGAACAGACTTTTGGACTCTGTGGGAGAAGGCGAGGGTGGGATGTTTCAAGAGAACAGCATCGAAACATGTATATTATCTAGGGTGAAACAGATCACCAGCCCAGGTTGGATGCATGAGACAAGTGCTCAGACCTGGTGCACTGGGAAGACCCAGAGGGATCGGGCGGAGAAGGAGGTGGGAGGGGGGGATCTGGATGGGGAATACATGTAAAACCATGGCTGATTCTTGTCAATGTATGACAAAAACCACTACAATTAAAAAAAAGTTAATCTATTAAAAAAACTGTTTTGCTATAACTTTCAAAGGAAAGGCATCTGCTTTTCCAAAAACCACTTCAAAACAATACTGCATTTGAAAGTCACTAAGCATTCAGAGTTTTTCTACTAGTTGTAGACCTATTTCATAAAGGAGAATCACCCATACATCTGGTCCCCCGAAAGGATGAAGACCATGGGAAGTAAGAGGGAGTTAAAGTTGGGAGGCAGCCTCCTGAATGGCCTCTGCATTCAGGAGTGCTTGGAAGCTGTTCATTTGCTATTTAAGAAATAAAAAGCTCTATTAGAGGATCCAATCTGAATAATTTGTTTGAGAGTCCCAATTTCTGACTTTGAAATATATCCAAATAATGATCACTGAAATGTTTTTGTTAGTAAAACTTTTTTCCTACTGTGTTACTAAAACTCTTTTTGTGTTCTTGTTAGCTTTTAATTTATATTTATACTTTATCAATAAAATAAGAAAATTAGCTGCTTAGTCATGTCCAACTCTTTGCGACCCCATGGACTGTAGCTTGCCAGGCTCCTCTGTTCATGGGATTCTCCAGACAAAAATACAGCAGTGGGTAGCCATTCCCTTCTCCAGGGGATCTTCCCAACCCAGGGCTTGAACCTGCATCTCCTGCATTGCTGGCAGATTCTTTACCATGATCTTTAATTCTCCAAACTGGGCCATGTTCTGATTCTACATGAATTTCTTTTTTTTTTTTAATTTTTTTTTCCATTTATTTTTATTAGTTGGAGGCTAATTACTTTACATCATTGCAGTGGTTTTTGTCATACATTGAAATGAATTAGCCATGGATTTACATGTATTCCCCATCCCGGTCCCCCCTCCCACCTCCCTCTCCACCCGATCCCTCTGGGTCTTCCCAGTGCACCAGGCCCGAGCACTTGTCTCATGCACCCAACCTGGGCTGGTGATCTGTTTCACCCTAGATAATATACATGTTTCAATGCTGTTCTCTTGAAACATCCCACCCTCGCCTTCTCCCAGAGTCCACAAGTCTGTTCTATACATCTGAGTCTCTTTTTCTGTTTTGCATATAGGGTTATCGTTACCATCTTTCTAAATTCCATATATATGTGTTAGTATACTGTAATGGTCTTTATCTTTCTGGCTTACTTCGCTCTGTATAATGGGCTCCAGTTTCATCCATCTCATTTGATTCTACATGAATTTCTAATTGCTCTGAAGGGGAAGAAGTAAATGAAAATTATGCAAGTAGGGATGGTAGTTTAGTTTTTGGATGAGAATAGTGTATTTTAAATCACAGCACCAGGATATATGTCAGATTATTATTATTATATTTTCTTCTAAAAATTGAACTTAATCTAATAAGTATTTTAAAATAATTTTTAAAACTCTTACACAAATGTTAGAAATAGCAACCAAATTGACTTAGGATCAGATCCTGTAGAGGTTAATTATTCTCCCATTGTTACTTCTAATGTGTACTGAGGTTGCTATTCCTTTATATTTCCTATCTGTAAGAGAGAGAGATTGTATAATACTTGCAATTCACAAAATCCAGGGTTGAAAAGTGGAATTTTGAGTAAGTGCATTAGTACATTCTGAGAGCAGAACAATTTGGTTTCAGAATTTGAATGTGTCTCTTGCAGTTCTTCTGGCTTTGTTCCACCAGATACACCAGCTCCTGCTTTGCAATCATGGAAGTGAATATGCTACATCTTTCAATCCCGTGGAAACTCTTAAGAAGGAAAGTCTATTATATAAATTATTTGACCCTTGCATTGGACAATTTGTTTGGTTTTCTTCCCAATAGCAGTAAAAAAAGATTCCATGAAAGTATTAAAAATTAATTCATCTTTTTTAGGAGAGCAAATGCAATATGTAAGCAAGAGACAAAAAATGTATTTACTAGCCTTTGACCCGCTAATAATACTTTTGGGAAGAAAACAAGCAGAGACTTCCTACACAGTAACAAATTTAAAAAGTGGAAACAAACAAAAGTTCAGTAATTGGAAAATGGTTAGCTAACCCAGAATTTTAGGTTGACAAAAATATTATGCAACCATTTAAAAGGATATGGGCAAAGACTATGACAATACATTACAAAATTTGTTTAAAATAATGCTAAATGCATTGTATGTATATATAGAGAGATTATAAAAATGCAAAAATGATGTATTTATATAATATTGAGGAGTAGAATTAAGGAGACAATGGAAGAAGTAGCTTGTCAAACTGCATATGACATTCTTTTTAGTAGATGACTTTTTGGGATAGTCTCTGAAATTATAAAAATGCTGCTGTGTCAACTTATCACTTAAATTTTCTTGCTCTTTTTCTTCTTTTTCTTGATGCATAACACAGTGATTCAATATTGTTATACATTTCAAAATGATCACCATGATATATCTAGTTACTATTCTGTCTTTTAAAAAATATAGCCATGTACTTGCATGTTTTTCTCCCATTTTATGTCCCAAAGGAAATGCTTTTTTTTTTTCCTCCTGATAAATATCATGAACATTTTTATTCAATAATTGAGTTTGTTAACGGATACTCAGTTACTCACTCTTTGGCACGCCCATGAGGTTCCTTCCGCCGGAACTCATGACTACTTAGAGAAGACACACTTCCCCTCTTCTTCAGCAAATGAGCGGTTCTGTCTTTAGCAATGTCTGACATCATCATAATCTATGGAGGAAAACTTTTGTAAGATATTGAACGAAAGATCTGAAAATACTTTAGTATAACATGAGACTTATTCTAAATAAAGTACATAGATGCTTTTTTTAAACCATTTTTGAATAGGGAAGTGGGGTTTCCTTAAGAGTGATATTTAGTATATATTGTTGTTCTGGTCAGTATAACTGGAAAAATGATAACTGATAACTTTTACTTATGCAATAGCATATTTAATTCACATAAGCAGATATTACACTGCAGCAAAAATACTTAACTGCAAAAGATGTTAAAGTTACTGAGAAAAGAGAGCCTTATGTACAAGAAAGATACTATCACACACCAGAAAACAATATTTTTATTGTCCCCTTTCAAATTTAATCTCAATGAAACTTGATAATTAATATTTGTTGTTTAAAAATTAAGATGAACTGCTTCTCCAAAGGGTATTCCCCACAGCCAAGCAACAGTGATTTACTTCGTAAAGAGCAAACAGAAATTTTCACAAAGTAATTTATTGGAAAACCTACCTCTTTTCACTAATGCTCGTGAAAAAGCTGGTAGTAGGGATGGACTTCCCAGAACTTGGACTAGAATTCTACTGCCCTATTGTCTACACACACATAATCATAGACTGTGCTAAGCAATAAATTAGGACAGAAACAATCCCTACCTTCAAAAAGGTGGCAGTTGAAATGGGTAGAGCTGACAAGAATACAACCTAGAACCCCAGTGTAATCAGCATCAGGGTAGACAGAGGCAAAGGGTACTGACGGGTACACAAACACAGCGGAGGTCCTGTGCGTTAGGGAGAGAGGCAGTGGGATGTGTGTGTGATTGTGGACCTGTGAGATTGTGTACACGGGTGTGAGCATCTCTGTGAGCGTGTGTCTCTGTGGGCATGTACTTGTTTGTGTATGAACACGAGTGTATCCCCATGATATGAGCCAGTGAGAGCATCTCTTTGTGTGTGCACCTGTGGGTATGATTATCTGTGTACCTGAGCGTGTGTTGCTGTGTCTGTGTGTGCACCTTTGTGTGTGACATGTCTGTGCACTGCATGTGTGTGCGTTTGTGTGTAGGAGTCTGTCTGTGTACATGAGAGTGTCTGAGCGTGTGTACGTGTGGACAAGACATACTGAGCCTATTTAAGAGGGTTGTTCGGGTTTCTTCTTAAAGTGACACACTCATACCTGAGTCTGTTCACCTTTTTCCAAAACTGCCGGGCAGGCCAGAATCCAGACCTAGAGGTCCCGAGAGGCAGAGGCTGCTGGTGTCTCCAAGCAGACCTCAGGTAGACTGCTCAGAACTCAAGCTGCTCCACAACCCAACCCGGCTGGCCAGCTCTGCACTGGGCATCACTCTAAAGCCCAGACAGGCAGGTGGGCAGGGAACCAAAGGCCAGGCAAGCTTTCCAGTTCTGAAAATTGGGGTCACTTTTCTCTAATTTCTGGGAGGGAGGAGGAATAAGGCATGGGGGAGAGAGGTCGTGGACAAGGCAGGCAGACCGTTTCTTAACACCGGGCCCTCCCTCCTTAGCTCCCCCGCCCTCGCACTTGTGCTTCGGTCTCTGCTGCTGCCCAGGCGCTCTGCAGAGAGGCCGCGCTTACCTGAGGCAGGGCTGGAGCTGGAGCTGCCGGCACGGCTCGGCCCGGGGCCTCCGAGACCTCAGGCTCCTCCACTGCAGGGCGCCTGGCAAGGCTCCCGCCTCCCAGGCTTCCTTTCTGCCCGCGCACTCCCGCACTCCCACTGGACTACGCGGCTTGTCTCCAAGGTGACCTTCCCAAACAGAGTCCTTGGCCCGCCCCAGGCAGGAACAGTGGTTGCCTGGCCCTCTAAGGCTGTAAGGGAGCCCCTCGTCACTGCCCGAGCGGGCTGTCCCGAGCCCGGCTGCGCCGTGGGGTGGCCGCGGGCTGCCGAGGAGCCGGTCATTCTATAGCGAGGGGGACATCGGGGACTCAAGAGGCAGGCCCGAGAGCCCTCATCACTTTCCTTTTGCAGATGTCGGGGACTGGGATAGGAAATGCCGCCGGTTCCTAGGACAGGAAATGCGAGGCACAGAGAGAAAGTAAAGCAGCCCCATCCCCTCCCCCGACCCCTGACCCCGCATCCCATTGTGTGGTTGATAATAGGAATAATTACATTTACCAGGTACTGGCAAACAGCTTTAGTTTTACCCAGTCGTCCCAACAACTCTTTCAAGAAAGGGTTGTTAGTTCTTTACAGATTTAGAGAATTGAGATTCTGAGATAATAAATAATATGCCCAAGACCCCTTGGAACTCACAGGCTTATCTTTCATGCATTACAAACTTTCATACTTTTCTACACTTTCCTTAACATCATCCTCCCCAGCCCTTAAAGTTTAAGCAGATTTGAAATGGAGGCTGTTTGGGATTGAGGACTTACCTGACACAAACACTGGACCCTTCTCCTTAATAACTATCCCCCTTATAACTGCAGAACCCCTCCCTCAGCACAAGGGGAAAAAACCAGACCTTGAAGGGACCCTCACAAAGTGGGCAGTCATTGGAGACAGAAATAAGATGGTGCCTTTAAGCACCTAGCCTGGTGCAGGTCCTTTGATGAGTGCCCAGGGCAGCTAGAATTGCCTGTCAATCACAATACATCTGGATAAGGATAGAGCACATAAAGGTTAGGATAGTATTGGAGGAAGAGCAGTAACATTTTCTGGCCCATCTCAATTGCTATTCAGAGAAAAATAAGCCCAGGAGAGGATTGTGGCTATTCACTACGTAACTGTTGCGGTTGTCCAGTCAACTCTCTGTGACTTTGACTGCAGCAGGCCAGGCTTCCCTGTCCTTTGCTGTCTCCTAGAGTTTGCTCAAATTCATGTCCACTGAGTTGGTGATGCTATCTAACCACCTCATCCTCTGCCTCCCTCCTTTTGCCTTCAATCTTTGTAATAGGAATTGTTAAGTGACTGGTAAATATTATCTCATTTAATCTGCTCAATGGCCCCAGGATAAGCTGTTATTAACTTTATTTAAGGAAATGAAGAATCACTGAGTAACGTACTCAAGACTCTAGTTATAGAGCTAAGATTTGTCCAACTCTAAAGCCCCTTGCACTGTGCCCCCACTTCTGCCCACCATGTCCACCCTAAATAAGCAATGACTTTTCCAGAAACGTGGTAAAATTTTAAGAGGCTGGTAATAAAAGAGATTCACAACTCAATTTATTTTTTGTTTTTCATTTATTTTCCAGAAAAATTACATTGAAATAACAATTTACTGAGATATTTGATTTTGTTCTCACATATAATTAAACTTTGTCCTGAAATGGGAACCCTAGGTGCAGTAATGTGCCATGATAAATAATTGCATATTCAGAATTTTGTGAAATGGGTGATTGGGAAAATTATGAAGGAAAAAAACATTTGTAAAAATCATTATTTACAAAAAATGATACCCACGTTTTTTTCTAATGTATAAGGCAAGTAACATTAAAATGTTCTCATGATTATCTTCAAGAAGTCAGTATTACACATTCATATCACCATGGCTCATCAGAGAGCTTTGGGCAGTTCTGTGAAGGAACAAACCCATGATTCTTTTGCTGGTTTTTTCTTGAGCACAGCACAGAAGCAATAGAGATTTCATCACAGACAAAGCAGTTACGGCTATGAGAATAAAGTATTCTCTGTTGAATTACACATGTAGGAAAAAGAGCCAGTCATCAACATTTTAACTGATTTTCAAAGTATTTTGAGTATTTTAGCCCACAATTCTTTTTGTAAATGTTTTATGCTCAAGGTATTTTGTGAAAATATTTACTCCATCCAAGGTCAAAAAGACATTGTCTACTTTTGCTACAGATATTGTGGAGATCTTTAAATAAAAGCTACCACCAACTCAAAGTATACACTAATAGCATTTTCCCAAAGAAAGACAGCTGACTGAATTTTATTACTTTTAGAAATACAGCTAAATTTTTCTGAGATTCTTTTCCTAGTTTCTCTTACTGTTAAAAGTACAAAAATGCCTTACATTGCCACTTAGCAGGCACAAAAATAAAATTTGACTATTTTAGATCTTCTCCTATGCAAAGTGAAAAAAAAATCCTTTGTATATTGAAATCCAGTACTCTTCAAACAGTTTTAAAAGCCAGCTCTTCAAATAACTGCTTGACCTGTAGTGAAGCCCTGCTTATAGATGACAGCTACATATCATACCAACACTGGGCTTTTTCATGAAAAATTATTCAGCAGCAATGTTCCAACTCCCTTAGACTGAGAGAGAGGCAGACACAAGGAGGGAGATGAAGCAGAGGTCAGTCTCTCTCATGCATATCCATTAAGAAAGCAAAAATGAAATACTGACCTGCAAAATCACAACTATAAAAATTATCATCGTATCACCTCATAAGGACAAGAAAAAACCTGACATTGGACCCTGGGACAGTGATCCCAGTGCTAGTCATTTTTTGTATCATTTAAAATATTTCAAAGTGGAGATGTATGAAAAATACTAAAGTTTTTTTTTCCAAAAGAAAAGGTCAGCGAAGTAATAAACAAGTGAACAAGTAAGATGGAATTAACATTTGCATGATATAGTCATTCAATGGAATGTTTAAAAATGATAAATGGCTGATAATCCATCATGCTGATTCACACACTTTGAATTAAAAATTGAATTGTATTTAGAGAAATGTAAAGTGATTCAGCTTTACTCTTTTCTCTCTGATAACAGACAGTTTACCCAGGAATTTTTAAAGAAACTTTGTCATTAAAACAACTGATTTGCAAAACAGAGCAAAGCAAAAAGTACTATGTAATGCTCTGCTTGTAACAGAATGTAGGAGTCTTGCAAAATCTATGCTAAATAGCACATTTTCCTTGGGTTTAACTGAAATGTTTTTCATATAATTTCTAACAAGCTTATATAAAAACGCTGTGAGCATCAATTCATCATGATTCAATTTCTTAAAGCATTTAGATAAAGTATTACCAAGGATTGTTCACAAGTATTAATTACCCTCTATAAAGAATCTGGATCATCTCCAACAGATTGCAGCATGATGTGATACCCATAGGTGCAGATCTTAAAAATAGTACTTAAAAAAATTAGTGAAACAATTTTACTGTTTCGAATGTTTTAGGTGATAAAAGTCACTAAGACATACTAATGAACTTTAAAGTAGATACTAATTCATTTAAAGTGGCATAAATTTTCCTTAGGGTTAAAACAAAAAACCAGAAGCATCTTTTTCAAAGCATTCCTGGTTATATTATTTGAAGTTGCTGAAAGATATGTAAAACAAAACTTTTCTAAAGTTTCTTCAAGATGTGTTTAGAAAAAAGTGTTTTCCTGATTCAAAACTTTCTTAAGCTTCATTAAAGCACTAACATTAATTAACAACGTCCAAGGAGTGAGGTCTGTGGTCTAGGAACATTTATTCTCAGACCACAATGAACACTTGCCAGAAGCAGCAGTGTTGAACATGATTTGGGAAATACCAGAATACGGTGAATGAAGTAAAATTACCCTTTCCTTATTGTTATTATTTTTACCAGTTAAGGGACACATAAAGTTTGCTTTTCTCTGAAACATCTTTTGTTATGAGGTTAAAGATGTACTTAGAATGGACAATGTACTACCTTAGAGATAAAGGAGATAATTAGAAATACTGTAAATCAAAGGAAAAATAACTTTAGAAGTCGAACTTAGAGAATAAGCTGTTATCCCTGTGGTGAATGTCAACAAACAGGGAGGTGACATTCTCTCCTAGGAATACTCATTTTGGATAAAAATCAGATATTAAACATGAGCAACTGTAAGAGGTCTGACCAATGTTAGTCAACAAACCCTAACATTTGACATTCTTTCAAAAAGGATGTTTAGTATTCAATTATGTATTTAAAATGCAGTTCTTGCCTATAGCAGATGACAGAATATCAAAGAAATAGAAATGCTAGTGGGTTTTGTTGTTTGTTTTTATATTTAGGGACTTAAACATTGCATTCCTATCTCATTTTTCCTCCATGCATTCAATGGACAAAAAGTAATATAATGGTAGTCATGTTTGATTCACTAATGAGCAAATGGCATTTAACTACTGTTTGCCAAATGAAAAAAAAAGAAAAAGAAAGGAGTGGGAAAACAAAAAAAAAGCCTCAAGAGAGAAGCACACACATTAAAGGAGGTGGGATGGTTCACCAGAACAGTCTCTTTAATCAGTGTAACAAAGACTGATTTTTTCATTCACATCAACAATTTAATTTGACTCATTTTAAGGAAATAGCATGTTGACTTTACATTAACTTTTAAAGCAGTATTTAGAGATAATCCTAGTTTTGATATCATAAAAAATTATGCTTCCATTTTTAAAAAATCCTGATCAGAAAATTATGTAGCAAAAAGAATATATTTGGATTGAATGAGATTTTGCTCAAATGCATCATCTTTTAGAGAAAACAAAGAAGGAAAAAAACCCCAACAAACCATAAACTCATCTCCTTAGTACATTTTACTGTATTACTCAACTTTAATTGACAGACTGTGATAATTTTGAGAAAAAAAATGCAAAAACAAAAATGATTGGTGCAGCTCTCTTGGAATTACACTAGTCCATGCTGATAAAGCATTGCTCAAAGGCCTACAAAGTAAATAGTGTTAACTCACAAGTTAGAGGTCTGTGTCCCCGGCAGGAAAGGAGACATTTTATCTGGATTTCATGACAGCTTGCACCCTCCCTACTTCTTTTAATCGTTGACAACATAGACAAAAGGACAGAAAAATGAAAATGAGAGAATGCATGTTAGGCCACTTTGAGACAAAATAAAAGAACGCTAAAAAAAGGGGGATGTTTTCCTACACAAATCTCTCTACCTCTTGGTTTTCTTTCAAGCCTGGAGGAAGCTAAATAGACTGAATGGGAAAAAAAAAAAACATGCTCAATAGAAAAATGGTATTCAAGTAATAATTGAATGTCTAAAATCTTCTGCAATGTCAGAACTAAGAAGTATTTGAGAGATCTACTAGGGCAGTGATTCTCAAATTTGGGGTGCTTGTCAAAGTACATATTCTTAAACTCCACCCCTACAGATTTATTTATTCAGTATAAATTTATTGATGCCCACTATCTTCTAAGCTCTGGCGTTATAGTGATACCTTAGTCAAAACCATTGCCCTTGTTAAATAAATGATAAAACAAGTGGTTCACATATCATGCTTTGAGAAATATTCTTTCCCAACAATTTTGCTTTGGGAATTATCCTTATTTTGGTATTAATTTTTCATAGCCTCCTTTACCTGGGTAGTCAAATGAAATATGTATAGTAAAATAAAACAGAAGAGTTCATTTCCTGGAATGAATAAGTAAAACAGGTCAATTGCTCCCATTGTTGTCAAAATAACTGGGTTACTTCCAGCTGCTATGTCACTTTGGGCAAATTATTAATCTAAGACTCAATGTCACCATTTGTAAAATACTAATTAAAAAGAGTATGTACCATTTGGGGGTTGATATAAAGATTAAGTGAGCTAACATCCATCAAGAGAATATCAATTTTTATTGTATATCAAGTACTGTGATTGTAAAGCCCCCAAAGGTGGATCTCTCTTAGTCAAGTAGAACCATGGAACATCTGAGGTGGGAGATTTAGAGATCACAGTTGTGTTACTATGGTGTTTAAACAGTGCTCTGGAGAGCCAGATTTAAATTGCTGGAAGAACTCCTTTATTGTTTTTAGTTATTTTGCTAAAATGAATTCATGTGCAATTTCAGTAGAAAAAAGTGACTGTTAAGAAAAGTTTGGAAACCACTGGCAATCCCAATGCCTCATTCTAAAGCTGAGAAATTTAAAAGGGCTGTGATTTTCTAAGGTCATATAACAGAGCTAGTGGTAGAGCTGATATAGTTACCAGGCTTCTTTGAAATGAATGTTTGGAAATGGAAATATGAGTAATTGTGGCCTCACTTTGCAGATTGACACTGACTAAAAATTCATAAAAACAAAACAATTGTAATTTGACTTTCTGGAGGGAATGGTTCCTCTGTATTCACTTGAAACCATTTGAAATGTAGACATTCTTTCTTTACAGGTGAAATGCATTTCCAAATACTATACAGTGAATTTTCATTTTGACTGTAAGTGTAGAGAAGAATAGAGCTTTAAAAACAATTTAAAATTAAATTGTTTGGAACTATATGTTCCAATTATGATAAAATTCAGACTAATGCTTAACAGAAATTTATTTTTTAAAATAACGTGAAAAATATGAAATTTATTTAAAAAACACATTTTCCATGTTGCAAAATAAAACATTCATATTTTCTATCTTGTTAGAGCAGAATCTTTTTAATCATAACACTTAGGAAATGGTGTCCTGGCTAATGAGAAATCTTTTTCTTTTAACGTTTGGTATTAAAAATCTGAACATGTACTAGCACATTTTGTTTTAGGAATTGATAATGAACCTGACCTAATGTTTCTTTTATACTTTCACTGTCTAGGATCATTTTTCCTAACACTAATTCTTTATTGTATAGTACTATGGATACAAGAATAATAGGAGATTATAAACTACAAGGTTAAAAAAAACCCACCAAAATCTAAATCCCTGATATGAACTTATTGTGTTGTTATTTGACCTATTTTCCAAAAGAAGAAGGGATATATTCTCTACTAAGGTCCTTGTTATTCAATAATAATAATAATATTTCAAAATTAATTAATAATTTTGAAATCATTGACTTTTATTCTGTTTCATAGGACCAATTATGGAATCATAGGATATCTTCATAGTTTCAAATTTGGTATCTAGAGACATTTGAATAATGTTAGAGATTAATTTAATCTGTTTTAAATTACATTTTATAATATAAACAAAAGTATTCTATGAAAAGGAAAACCTTGTGTTTAATTACTAATTCCCTCTAGAATGGTTTAAAATAAAATATAATGAGCAAGACATGAGAACCAATAATATTTACATATTTTTAATATGCTTTGTGTTAATATTTAATATGTTTTCTCATGGATTAATATCTTAAAAACACATTTTTATATTCATATGCTGGATAACTCTCAGTTCCAGTGTTTGAAATTTCCCCATGTTTTATGGGATTTAAAAGTTTTCATTTTCTATTTTTATTTAAAAATAAAACTGAATATCTTTAAAGTGACTAAGTAACTATATTAGTTACTTGTTCAAAAAACTTCAACATCAGACTGCTTGGGGAGCCAATCGAGAATTTGTTTGCACAGCAAGACTTCTTCTTAGGTAAAACAGATCATTTTGAACAGTCTCTTGGTAGCAAGCACTGATTGAGGAGTACAAATATTAATTTAAAAAATTCTACTATAAACAATTGCCAGTCACAATTTCATTTTAAAAGTAAGCTTACAAAATTTAATTTGATTCTAAAATTTTAAGGGGCTAGAGTTCTTTGTCAAATATGAATGTTGTAAATAAAATTTAGCAACTAATGATAAACGTAACAACTTAATAATCATAGTTATTTAATAGTATAACCTAGAACAGGAATGAGTTTATGTTAAAATAGGTTCTATGACTTAAAGAAAGATTCATGTTTTCAGATTGTAATGGAGGAAGGTTTTGCTGGGACTCCTGAAGAAGAACTTCTTCATCCTGAATTCCCATATTGAGGCCAGACTGAATAATTACAGTTTTTATTATACCTTGCAACAATGAAATCATAACATACATTTTTGATCTCTCTTTTTGATTCCCTAAGAACGGCAAAGATTTATAGTTACATACAATGAATCTTATCCAAAAGGAAATTTATTGCACAATAATGTGGTTAGAATTTCATTTATAAAGCTTATTTTTTCCTTCCCATATAATATAAATGATGATTAAAATTCTACTTCTGGATTTCAATAGGGGACTGAAATCTTTTTTTTTGGTTTTTTTAGAGTTAGTGTTTTGATTCCTGTGGGTAATGAGGAAGATGCTTGGTACAATTCTCCATGCTGGATGGGAGGGTCTCTGTCTAGAGATATTGTGCAAAAGTTGTTAACCAGTTCAATCATGGAAATTCTTGAAATTTTAAAACCACAATTTTGGTTTTAGTCTGATTATTCAGTAGTCCCCATATCTGGTAATCTGTGGAAGGGAGGGGAGTAGTTAAGATTTCAACATCTTCTTTATTCTTGTTTATAATTTCATATACTTAAACTTTAAATATGAATTGCTTTCCATTTTTACACAAGTTATAAAAATAAGAGGCCCTGTTTACACAGTTTGCATTTTTATGAAATTTGCAGTTTGAAAAAAAAGCTTTTTAAAAAGTGGCAATTAATGCTTTTCTTTGAATATGCTGTAACTTTAGAATTTTTTTTTGTTTTCTGAAATAGTTTCTGAATTTAATCCACTAAACATTTGAAGATAGAATTTTTATTAAGCACTAGAGTAAAACATACTAAGGACTGAAGAAAAGGAAATTTTTTTCCTGGTTCTGCATAATTTTCTTTGTGCATGGCACCCCCTTTATGACAGCTAACAATATTATATTTAAATTTTATATATTGACAAAATGCAATCTACCTCTGTAAGCATTGTGCCATTCAACAGTACTACTATTAAATTTACATACCACAGTTTAAATTACATCCATTTCAGGAATGGTAAAATGCTAAAACTCAAGTATCTAACCGCCTTACTGGAATGAGTACAATTTACAAATACAATAATTACATTTTAAAACCATTAACAATATTACACCTAGAAGTAAATACTGTAGGACTGGTCATCATGGTATCATGTGAGGGAAATCATTGCTGAAAGTCACTGACATTTCCAGCAGATATATCCCAAGTGCAGATTTTTGGTTTGTTTTCATCAAACCAAAATTAAAACCTGTTTCTCATACAATAGTTCTCCATTATATGAATCTCCAAATCCTTGCATAAGATTTTATTAGTTATCTGCCAAGTATTTTCCTGAAAAATAAAACAACATATCAACAGGTTATCTGCTAGCTCCATAATATGGTTATTATGTGGGTAACATTTTATTCTTCCTGCCTTAAAGCTAAGTATTATATACTCAAGGGGTATAACACTAATATAACACATATAAAGTGTTTAAAGTTTTCAGTTTTCTAGACCAACGTGTTGCCTTTTCACATTTCCACATATGAACACTTTGCAGAGGTTTGGGTTTTGTCCAGAATAGGTTGGAAGATTTGTTCCTGGATGTGAGAATCCAACTTCTTATAGTAGGAGTAATCATATAATTACTTTTCAATGTGGGCCATTTTTGAGAGTGAAAGGGGGCTAATTGATAATTATATCAATACTGCAACCATAAAAATCTGGAAGTATCCCAGCAAATCCTTGACAAAAAAAATCACCTTAATATTGGGGAATCCCTACCAATAAATTCTCATGAGACCCCCTAAAGGAGTCTCATGACCATATTTCCGCTCAAGGTAACTGGTTCTGATCTTTGGCCTAGACTTTTTTAAGTTGTTATTAAAATGAAAGATGGATACTCTTAGATCTCAGCTGAGCCTGAGTCTAAAATCTATGAAGATCTGCTGAATAAAAAGCATTTTCAGGTAAGAGACCAAACAGCATTTATCTTGCTTGTCAGTCTAACAAAATGGCATTTATCTTGTTTGTCAATATAACATAGTAGAATTTATATAATTAACCTCAGTGTACACACATATATAATGGGAATGACAGGTCAGTCCCATGTAAGAACTGGCCAGAGCCATGATAAGTAGGCAGGGCCATCCATCCTAATTTCTGATTTCCCCAGTTTATTGCCCTATTTTTACTTCATTTAACAATTGGTTTGCTTTCTGATTGCAATGGGAAATGGGGGTTGGGAGTGGAGAAGAAGAGGAGGAAGATGCTCAGAAAATCATAACATATTCCTTCTTAAGGAAGAATAGCTAAGGTAATATTGTTGTTTGCAAATGAGCACACAAGATACCCACTTACCTGCGGCAAACCTTTTCTTGATGAGTGAAAATCTGTACCCTGCTCCAACAAGTTCAATGTCACAGCCAGAAAGAGTGCTTCCTTCACTTGTAAACTGCACAACCAATGGCGAAGGTTTGCTTGGGCCTTCAGATAACTGAAATCTTGCCAATAAAGAACCTACCCCTACAAAAAGAGTATTATTGATAACAGTTTAAAAGGTAACATTCAACACAACATTCTGGATATAATTTTGGAAATTGTATTCAAGGTTAAAACGCAAAATCAATCTTACTAGAACATAGTATATGTATATTACAGGGACAAAACAGTGGTGAATAATATTTATCATGAAATATTTTTCATGACTTTTAAAATACACCAATAAAAATGTAATTCAGCCAAACGGTACTTCAAAATTTGGAAGCATGATACTTGGCAATGTATTTCCAGCTTATGATTAATATCCAAGGAAAGTAAAAAATATCTAAACTGTCAGAGTGCGAGATCTGATACAGAATGAAAACATGTTCCATTAGAAGGTCTCTGCTTCATGTATGGTCTGTTTGATGTGGGGTGTTCGGTGGAAAAGAGGTAACAGAGGATTCATTGAAGAACTATTTTCTCTTATTGGTAAAAATAATAATACACAACAAAATTAACTGAAATACTTTGATTTCTTTTAGCGCTAAAGATACTTTGATTAATAGTTTTCTAATATCTGACAGTTATTCCAGCTTTATATATTAAATAAAATAAGCCTGTGATTACATTACCTCCATTTTCTGACTTCTGAGAAATATCAGGAATCTTCCACAATATTCTTTGTTGGTCAGCATTCCTAAAAATAAAATAGGTAAAAGACTTCTGCATATGTAAGGGTTTTTGTTTAATGGATGTCATATTTTTCCAAAGTGTTAATTAATAAAAATGATCTTAAAAATTTTAGCTACAATTTAAGCATTATCTATATATCCATCTATCATCCCTCCTCTTCCCCTCCCTCCTCTTCCCCTCCCTCCTTCCATCTATCCATTTTTCCATCTACCCATCCTTTCACTCATCCATCCATCTATCCACAAATCCTCTGCTTTTTCTTTCTTTACTGTCACAACACTGTCAGAGAGATAAATGTTTAGAGGGCAGTGTGGTTAAAAAAAATTTAACACATCTACTGAAAAAATAGAAGGGAAGTGTTAGTTGATCAATTAATTAAGGTAATTTAAATTGAAGCTGTTACATGGTTGACATTCTTTTTTTCTAATGTTCTACTTTTTACTTCTAACAAGCATATGGAGTCACTGTAATATTTTTCCTTAGGAGAATAGGCTCTATTTATAGCCATTATTGATACTGGGTGTCTATTCTTTTTCTGTTCCTATACTTTCTCTAGTGTACCTTTTAATAATACAGAGACTGCAAAATGAAACTCAGACTCCCTTGTAATTAGGGTAGATGCAGACTAAGGTCCACCAATTACATGCACTAATTAAGATTTGGAGGAAAGAAGGAGGGCAGAGGCCATTTTCTTGATGCTTTTTGGGCTGTTTTCTGCTAGTCAGCAGCCTGAGATGATGTGGGGAATCTTCATAAACAGTGCTCCAGTCCAGTCTCAGTTTTGTAGTTGTAGAGAAGTAGTTTAGGCAGTGCCAGGAGGAGCTTTCTTATCCTTGGATTCTCATGAGGGTGGTGGATTCTCGAATTCAACGGCTCCACTGACAGCCTTCTGATTTCTCTCCTTCCTGGTTGAAGCAGAGGTAGCAACTGCCCTGGTGGGTCAGTTCTGCAGTGTCCTGGGAAATATTCTTGGAGATCCAGTCTAAACCTTGTTCTTCTTTTTGTGTATGAACAAAATCCCTGTGTTAAATCATTTTGTGCTTGAAATAGCTACAGCAGTTTCTGTTTTCTGCCCTGAACCCTGACACCCAGGCCTACTGTGGTCTCTTCCTATAGGAAACACAATGCTAAAATGTCTGTCAAGCCTTTGCCAGAAGGAGCCCTTTGGTGAAGAGGAAGGGGGCTGGTAGCTCCTTACCAGACTGCTGGTGGGAGCACCGCCTGGAGCTTGGTTACCCCTCCATCCACGGGGACCAAGAACTGCACGTTGTTGAGGGCCACGGCGGTTGTCATTGCATCTGTATTGTATTTGTAATCTATGCGCAGGTCGGTGCTTGCTGGTTCACATCGCCAGTTCACTGCCAAGTTCAGAGGCGTGGACTGAATGCCCTGGGCCGACACCTTGCCAAAGACAGAAAAGAGAACATTTAAGGCTTGACGATTAATCTGAAACAAAACCAGAAGCTATGATTATGTCTTATGGGAATATTCGTAGATATCAAAAGATCCTTGTGCCACTCACAGATGAGCAGTCGGTAAAAAAAATGTCACCATGATGGGTGAGTGAGATTTGGATGCTTCAGGTAAAAAGTTATAGATTAAAAACATAAAATCAATGATTAAAATCTCGATAGCACTTTAGAGTTTACAATTCATTTTATGTCACTTAGGCAGATGGTATCACAGTGCTTAGGAGCTGAGGCCAAGAAGGCAGATAGTCCTGGATGTGAGTTCTTTCTTTTTAAAGTTGAAGTTCTGTTGTTTTACAATATTATATAAGTTACAGGTGCACAACATAGTGACTCATGGTTTTAAAAGGTTATACTCCATTTATAGTTACTGTAAAGTATTGGCTATATTCTCCATGTTGTACAATATATCCTTGTATTTTATTTTATGCCTAACAGTTTGCACCTCTTAATCTCCTACCATTGCCCTTCCACTAGTGACCACTGGCTTTTTCTCTATATCTGTGAGTCTACTTCTTTTTTTGTTATATTCACTAGTTGGTTGTATTTTTAAGATTCCACATATAAGTGATACAGTATTTGTCCTTCTCTGTCTGACTTATTTCTCTTAGAATAATGTCCTCCAAGTCCATCCATGTTGCTGCAAATAGTGAAATTTCGTTATTTTTATGGCTGAATAGTTTACTATTGTATACATATAGATATACATATATCCCACATCTTCTTTATCCATTCATCTGTTGATGGAACCAGTCTGCTCCTTCTGTACCTCGGCAAATTGTAAATAATGCTGCTATGAACACTGGGGTGTATGTATCTTTTCAAAATAGTGTTTTTGATTTTTCGGTTATATCTTGGTGTGAGTTCTGCTTGTCACTTTCAAGCTGAGTGATCTTGGACCAGTCATTAAAAACCTCTCTGTGCCTCTGTTATTTCCTCATCTGCCAAATGAGAATGATAATAATTTTTAAAAATATTTACTTTTTAATTTTTTTGGCCACACCATGTGGTTTGTAGGATCTTAGTACCCTCATGTGTGCATGCTAAGTTGCTTCAGTCGTGTCTGACTCTGTGCGACCCTATGGACTCTAGCCCGCTAGTCTCCTCTGTCCATGGGATTCTCCAGGCAAGAATACTGGAGTGGGTCACCATGCCCTCCTCCAGAGGATCTTCCCAGCCCAGGGATCAAACCCACATCTCTTACATCGCCTGCATTGGCAGGCTGGTTCTTCACCACTAGTGCTACCTGGGAAGCCCCTGAGTACCCTCACCAGGGATCAAACCCATGCTCCCTGCCCTGGAAGGCTGCAGTCTTAATTACTGGACCACTAGAGAAGTCCTGGGAATGAGAATAATATTTACACCTAGAGATGTTAGGATGATTGAAGAAGGCTGTTTTATATGAAACACTCAGCTTAGTGCCTAATATATAATAGGAATTAACATTTTAATACTGTAACCTAATAATATTCTTATCATATTTGCTCTTCACAAATAGCGAGTTAGACAAAGCAAGTTATGATTACTCTTTTGGGATTTGCCATTTTAAGGACTTAAATCCAGGTCTTCTAACTGGTCTACTGTCAATTCTAGTTAGAAACAACTGTGAATTTGACTAAGGAAGAGTCAGATTTGAAGAAACAGCAAAAAGTTATAAAATAATAATACCAACTTGAATCTTGGATACACAGTGAAAATTTTGCAAGGTTATTATTTCTACCTTTTACAAGTGTGTGAGCACCGCAGGGGTTGCGTGGGTGGTGTCTGTGCTCTTGAAGTTTTATTCATGGAGTATGAGTTCTGCTGATTTTGAAGACTATAAACAGCTTTTTACTGGCCTAGCAATGCCTGCACATATGGACACCATGGGAAAGGGTCCTGAAGACAGGCTGCACTTACAGAGCTGGTATGGTTGATTTGGAAACAAAACCAGACACGGATCCTTTTATAAAATGAAAGACATGACTTTTGATAACATAATTTTAGATAGATGATCATTATAATCAAAGTTTTAAAACTTTGCAATAATCTCTATAATAAACCTTATAATAAAATTTCTACACTTTATTTTTAGCAGCCCAGTCCTCTGCAAATGAACTCTTATTTAGAAGTCTGTTATTTAAGATGGCTCAAAAGCAGAGTGACTCGCTCTCCCCTGCTATTTCTACACTCTTGTCCTCGGCGGGAGTTCTCAACTTCAAAGTAGTTCCTCTGCCCAGTGAGGGGCTTTATGGACATGTGATTGTCTCAGTTACTGGGGAGGGTGCTACTGGTAGCCAGAAAGTAAACTTGCTTTGATTTGAGAGTGATTCCACAAAATGCTAATTATGCCTAACACCCAATCCCTTGCATTGTTGAAAAACAATAACAACAATACAACTAAACCATAACAAAAGGGATTTCTAATTTAAAACAAAATGGCGGACTTAGGGCTACTTACATTTCACAAAGTACTCTGAAATATGTTAGGCAGTTAGTTTTCCACAGCTTAAAAAATACCTCAGTAAGAATAATTTTTATCCTTATTTGCAGATGAGGAAACTGAGGTTCAGGGAGATAAGTGTCTAAGGTCAGTGGACAGTAGGGAAGCTGACTTAATTCCAGAATTCAGTCTCCTGCCTACATTTTAATATTTTACATCAAGTTCATATTCCAATAGGTGAATTCTGTCTACATTCTAGGCTTCATCATAATGATGTTTAAAGCTTAGATGATACTATTCTTACTAGAAAAATGTTACACACATTTCTATTTTTGAGAAATGTACCATCACATAGACACTTCATGTTTAATGGTTTCCTTACAACATGTGATTTTCAGCCCATGGGGTGCATTATAACCACTTGGTGGTCTTGCAAAAATATATACACCTTGGTCACATCCTTGTCTAATTCAATGAAACTGAGCCATGCCGTGTGGGGCACCTAAGACAGACAGGTCATGGTGGAGAGGTCTGACAGAATGTGGTCCACTGGAGAAGGAAATAGCAAACCATTTCAGTATTCTTGCCTTGAGAACCCCATGAACAGTATGAAAAAGCAAAGAGATAGGACACTGAAAGATGAATTCCCCAGGTCAATAAGTGCCTAATATGCTACTGGAGATCAGTGGAGAAATTACTCCAGAAAGAATGAAGGGATGGAACCAAAGCAAAAACAACACCCAGTTGTGGATGTGACTGGTGATAGAAGCAAGGTCTGATGCTGTAAAGAGCAATACTGCATAGGAACCTGGAATGTTAGGTCCGTGAATCAAGGCAAATTGGAAGTGGTCAAACAAGTGATGGCAAGAGTGAATGTCGACATTCTAGGAATCAGCGAACTAACATGGACTGGAATGGATGAATTTAATTGAGATAACCATTATATCTACTACTGTGGGCAGTAACCCTCTAGAAGAAATGGAGTAGCCATCACAGTCAACAAAAGAGTCTGAAATGAAGTACTTGGATGCAATCTCAAAAACAACAAAATGGTCTCTGTTCGTTTCCAAGGTAAACCATTCAATATCATGGTAATCCAAGTCTATGCCCTGACCAGTAACGCTGAAGCTGAAGTTGAACGATTCTATGAAGACCTACAAGACCTTTTAGAACTAACACCCAAAAACGATGTCCTTTTCATTATAGGGGACTGGGATGCAAAAGTAGGAAGTCAAGATATATCTGGGGTAACAGTTTTGGCCTTGGAGTACAGAATGAAACAGGGCAAAGGCTAATAGAGTTTTGCCAAGAGAACACACTGGTCATAGCAAACACCCTCTTCCAAAACACAAGAGAAGAATCTACACATGGACATCACCAGATGGTCAATACCGAAATCAGGCTGATTATACTCTTTGCAGCCAAAGATGGAGAAGCTCTATACAGTCAGCAAAAACACAACTGGGAGCTGACTGTGGCTCAGATCATGAACTCCTTATTGCCAAATTTAGACTGAAATTGAAGAAAGTACGGAAAACCACTAGACCATTCAGGTATGACCTAAATCAAATTCCTTATGACTATACAGTGGAAGTGAGAAATAGATTTAAGGGACTAGATCTGATAGACGGAGTGCCTGATGAACTATGGACGGAGGTTCATGACACGGTACAGGAGACAGGGGTCAAGACCATCACCATGGAAAAGAAATGCAAAAAAGCAAAGCGGCTGTCTGAGGAAGCCTTACAAATAGCTGAGAAAAGAAGAGAAGCGAAAAACAAAAGAGAAAAGGAAGGATATACCCATTTGAATGCAGAGTTCCAAAGAATAGCAAGGAGAGATAAGAAAGCCTTCCACAGCAATCAGTATAAAGAAATAGAGGAAAACAATAGAATGGGAAGGACTAGAGATCTCAAGAAAATTAGAGATACCAAGGGAACATTTCATGCAAAGATAGGTTCAATAAAGGACAGAAATGGTATGTACCTGACAGAAGAAAATATTAAGAAGAGGTGGGAAGAATATACAGAAGAACTGTACAAAAAATATCTTCATGACCCAGTTAATCACGATGGTGTGACCACTCACCCAGAGCCAGACATCCTGGAATGTGAAGTCAAGTGGGCCTTAGGAAGCATCACTACAAACAAAGCTAGTGGAGGTGACGGAATTTCAGATGAGCTATTTCAAATTCGAAAAGATGATGCTGTGACAGTGCTGGACTCAATATGTCAGAAAATTTGGAAAACTCAGCAGTGGCCACAGGACTGGAGAAGGTCGGTTTTCATTCCAATCCCAAAGAAAGGCAATGCCAAAGAATGCTCCAACTACTGCACCATTGCATTCATCTCACACGCTAGTAANTTTTACTTATGACACACACAAAAAACATTAAGATAGCATGTAAATAAAACTAAGAGAAAAGCAGAGACATTACTTTGCCAACAAAGGTCCATCTAGTCAAGGCTATGGTTTTTCCAGTGGTCATGTATGGATGTGAGAGTTGGACTATAAAGAAAGCTGAGCACAGAAGAATTGATGCTTTTGAACTATGGTGTTGGAGAAGACTCCTGAGAGTCCCTGGGACTGCAAGGAGATTCAACCAGTCCATCCTGAAGGAGATAAGTTCTGGGTGTTAATTGGAAGGACTGACGTTGAATCTGAAGCTCCAGTACTTTGGCCACCTGATGTGAAGAGCTGACTCATTTTCAAAGACCCTGATGCTGGGAAAGATTGAGGGCAGGAGGAGAAGGGGACGACAGAAGATGAGATGGTTAGATGGCATTACCAACTCAATGAACATGAGTGTGAGTAAACTCCGGGAGTTGGTGACTCACTGGGAGGTCTGGCGTGCTGTGGTTCATGGGGTCACAAAGAGTTGGACATGACTGAGTGACCAAACTGAACTGAACTGGTCACATCTTGAACTAATTAAAAAAAATCTCTGAGAGTGTCAGCGCCCAGAAGATATCTCAGTCCCTGTCATCTCTATCTCTAACCCTCTCTTCTTCCCTATCTCTATCTCTACTGCTACTGCTAAGTCACTTCAGTCGTGTCCGACTCTGTGCGACCAGGCAAGAACACTGGAGTGGGTTGCCATTTCCTTCTTCAATGCATAAAAGTGAAAAGTGAAAGTGAAGTCGCTCAGCCATGTCCGACTCTTCATGACCCCGTGGACTGCAGCCTACCAGGCTCCTCCGTCCATGGGATTTTCCAGGTAAGAGTACTGGAGTGGGGTGCCAATGCCATTGCCATTGCCTTCTCCATCTCTATTTATCTATAAATAGATTTTATATAGATATCTCTCTATATCTCTGTCTGTCTATAATTAAGACCAGCTCAGAACCAGCATTTGTTTATAACTCCCCTGGTGATTTTAAAGTGTACTCATGTTTGAGATGTACTGATTTCTATTAAAAAGTACAACTTTCAAAAGTAATAATTTAGATTCCTCATCTTAAGCAAAATAATTTGAGCACGTTTAATCACAAAAATTTCAATGCTCAAAAAATAACCTAGGCAATCAAGTGGCTGGGAATCAGTGGGATATTCAGGCTCTGTATAATCCTGTTTTGAAACAGGATAAAGGGGTAAAGGGGTAAAAGGCAATCCTAAACATAGAAAGAAAGTTCTTATATCCTGTAATGTATTATACCAAATATTCTTTTAACCTTAAACTATTTCTTTTTTTTAAAATTAATTAATTTATTTTAATTGGAGGCTAATTATTTTCCAGTATAGCAGTGATTTTTGCCTTACATGAATCAGCCATGGGTGTACATGTGTTTCCTATCCTGAATCCCCACCCCCTACCTCCCTCCCATCCCATCTCTCAGGGTTGTTCCGGTGCACCAACTTTGAGTGCCCTGTTTCATGCATCGAACTCGGACTGGCGATCTATTTCACATATGGTAATATACATGTTTCAATGCTATTTTCTCAAATCATCCCACCCTGACCTTCTCCCACAGAGCCCAAAAGTCTGTTCTTTATATCTGTGTCTCTTTTGCTTTCTCCCATATAGGGTCATTGTTATCATCTTTCTAAATTCCGTATATATGCATTAGTATATTGCATTGGTGTTTTTCTTTCTGACTTACTTCACTCTGTATAACAAGCTCCAGTTTCATCCACCTCATTAGAACTGATTCAAATGTGTTCTTTTTAATAGCTGAGTAATATTCCATTGTGTGTATGCACTATAGCTTTCTTATCTGTTCATCTTCCAATGGAGATCTAGGTTGCTTCCATGTCCTAGCTATTATAAACAATGCTGCGATGAACATTGGGGTACACATGTCTCTTTCAATTTTGGTTTCCTTGGTGTGTATGCACAGCAGTGGGATTGCTGGGTTGTATGGCAGTTCTATTTCCAGTTTTTTAAGGAATCTCCACACTGTTCTCCATAGTGGTTGTACTAATTTGCATTCCCATCCACAGTGTAAGAGGTTTCCCTTTTCTCTGCACCTTCTCCAGCATTTATTGTTTGTAGACTTTTTGACAGCAGCCATTCTGACCAGCATGAGATGGTATCTCATTGTGGTTTTTGATTTGCATTTCTCTGATAATGAGTGATGTTGAGCATCTTTTTTTTGTGTTTGTTAGCCATCTGTATGTCTTGGGAGAAATGTCTGTTGAGTTCTTTGGCCCATTTTTTGATTGGGTCATTTATTTTTCTGGTATTGAGCTGCATGAACTGCTTGTATATTTTTGAGATTAATTCTTTGTCAGTTTCTTCATTTGCTATTATTTTCTCCTATTCTGAATGCTGTCTTTTCACTTTGCTTATAGTTTCCTTCATTGTGCAAAAGCTTTTAAGTTTAATTAGGTCCTATTTGTTTATTTTTGCTTTTATTTCCATTACTCTGGGAGGTGGGTCATAGAGGATCCTATTGTGATTTATTTCAGAGAGTATTTTACCTATGTTTTCCTCTAGGAGTTTTATAGTTTCTGGTATTACATTTAGATCTTTAATCCATTTTGAGTTTGTTTTTGTGTATGGTGTTAGAAAGTATACTAGTTTCATTCTTTTACAGGTGGTTGACCAATTTTCCCAGCACCATTTGTTAAAGAGATTGTCTTTTCTCCATTGTATAATCTTGCCTCCTCTGTCAAAGATAAGGTGCCCATAGGTGTATGGATTTACCTCTGGGCTTTCTATTCTGTTCCATTGATCTATATTTCTGTCTTTGTGCCAGTACCATACTGTATTAATGATTGTAGCTTTGTAGTATAGTCTGAAGTCAGGCAAATTGGTTCCTCCAGTTCCATTCTTCTTTCTCAAGATTGCTTTGGCTATTTGAGTTTTTTTGTATTTCCATACAAATTGTGAAATTATTTGTTCTAGTTCTGTGAAAAATACTGTTGGTAACTTCATAGGGATTGCATTGAATCTATAGATTGCTTTGGGTAGTATACTCATTTTCACTATATTGATTCTTCTGATCCATGAACATGCTATATTTCTCCATCTATTTGTGTCATCTTTGATTTCTTTCATCTGTGTTTTATAGTTTTCTATAGATAGGTCTTTTGCTTCTTTAGGTAAATTTATTCCTAAGTATTTTATTCTTTTTATTGCAATGGTGAATGGAATTGTTTCCTTAATTTCTCTTTCTGTTTTCTCACTGTTAGTGTATAGGAATGCAAGGAATTTTTGTGTGTTAATTTTATATCCTGAAACTTTCCTATATTCATTGATTAGCTCTAGTAATTTTCTGGTGGTGTCTTTAGGGTTTTCTGTGCAGAGAATCATGGCATCTGCAAACAGTGAGTTTCACTTCTTCTTTTCCAATCTGGATTGCTTTTATTTCTTTTTCTTCTCTGCTGTGGCTAAAACTTCCAAAACTATGTTGAATAGTAGTGATGAGAGTGGGCGCTCTTGTCTTGTTCCTGACTTTAGGGAAAATGTTTTCAATTTTTCACCATTGAGGGTAATGTTTGCTATAGATTTATCATATATATCTTTTATTATGTAGAGGTATGTTCCTTCTATGCCTGCTTTCCAGAGAGTTTTTACCATAAATGGATGTTGAATTTTGTCAAAGGCTTTCTCTGAGTCTATTGAGATAATCATGTGGTTTTTATCTTTTAATTTGTTAATGTTAACCTTAAACTATTTCTTAACATAAGTTTCATTAGAATTTATTTTGTGGGACTATCACATTATAAAAAAATTCAACTTACATTTAATCATTTAAAATAACAGATTTTAGTACAGTAATATTCTTAACAAAATTTTGTTTAGCAACTGTTGTGTCTGATTCTTTGTGACCCCATGGATTGTAGGCTACCAGGCTCCTCTGCCCATGGAATTTTCCAGACAAGAATACTGGAGTGGGTAGACATTTCCTTCTCCAGGGGAGCTTCCCGAATCAAGGATTGAACCTATGTCTCATGCATTGCAGGCAGATTCTTTACCACTCTGCCACCTGGGAAGCCTCCTTAACAAAATTACAGTAAACTATTTGTCAATATATTGAATTTCAAATCTTATTGAATCTACTGAATCTTATTGAATCTATTTTGAATCTTAATTGACGTAGTTTTCTGCAAATTCATTTTTGTGGCATGTTTCCCTAAATTTGAATAATTTTTTTTTTTTTACTTGTAAGTTTCAAATAATGTATGACTACTCTAAATAGCCTTTACACAGCCTTTTGAGATCTCTATATTCTTATAGATTATAGCTTTTAAATAATATTTAAAGAAGTGTTACTTTACTTTTATTTAATGTTAAGTATGCTAGAATTTTCAACTACAAATTGGTACTTGCCTTCTACCTCTACAAGGATTAATTCATGTGCTGCTGTAACTGCTGATTTTCAACAGCCCCTGAAAGAAGCTTAGGGTGGAGAGCACAAATGAGGCACTTAGTGCTCTGGGAAAAACCAGCAGAACAGGTCTTCAGAAAGTTAGATATTTTCTGGAGCTTATTTTATGAGACCAGTTCTTCTCCTCATATCTGGAAAAGCACTAAAATCCTTCATGGTGATATCTGCTCCTCATGACTAGCAGTAACCTTCATGAGACAAGCAGAAACCTGCAAAAAAAATGTGCTTAATTGCATGTAATTTCCCTTCACCAAAATCACATATATACTGACTTCCCTCCTACTTCTTTGGAACAATTTCTCAGAGCTATCTGGAATGCTGCCTCCAAGGCTATAGTTCTAATTTTGCCCCAATTAAAACTTGACTCATAACTCTCACATTGTACATTTTTTTTAAGTTGATAGAATGAATATACATTTGTAATATGAAAGAGACACCCTGACCATATAAATAGTCTTACCTGATATTTGAGCATGTCCACATTATAATATGTAGCCTGGGGTTTTTGTTCCGACACTTTCTTTAGGTGAGTCATCAAATTTGGCATGTTTACCCAGAATTCCTTGGCACTGGCATCATTTTGGGTATTATCGCTATTTAATTGGGAAGAAAAACTGATTGAGTAGCATCTTGTGAAAAACACAAAACACAAAAAAAGCATCTTAGCAAATTATCATCTGCTTTCTGTCTCAATCTTTGAGAATTTATACAGACTATTATTAACAATAGTAGAGTTGCAGTCCTGAATGGTATGTTAATAAATACCCAAGAAAGTGAAAGTGTTAGTCACTCAGTCATGTGTGACTCTTTGCAACCCGTGGACTGTAGCTCCTCAAGGAATTCTCCAGGCAAGAATACTGGAGTGGGTTGCCATTTCCTTCTCCAGGGGACTCCAAGGGTCAAATCCAGGTCTCCTGCATGCAGGCAGATTCTTTACCATCTGAGCTACCAGGCAAGCCCATAAATACCCATAGTGAGGCATTATTGTATTGCTGTAAATCCCAAGGAGTACCAGTGATATTTACCAATCATAATGATAATGATTGGTTCAAAGAATGAATAATGGTTGCTTCAAAGAGTGAATTATTTATTAACCCAAATTTAATAGCTCTAACACATCACCACTGTTTCCTCTAAATTAGTCAGTTAATGCAGTCAAGGAGTCATAAACATTGATTTTCTTTTGAATTTACTTCAACAGTAGATTCTCAGAAATTACTGATTTAAATATTTGGCTATAAGTAAACACATTCTTTGTCTCCAACTGAGGAGAAAAGTGTTACTAAAATTATCATGCTCGCTTTTTAATATTCACAGTAGTTCATCTAAGAGCATCTAAATCATACAAAGTCACCTCACTAACAAGACGATCTTGGAATTTAAATGATAATAACCATGGCAGTTATACTAGAGAGTGCAGTCTTAGTGAATTAAATGAGTTTTGTATCCCTAGGGGAGTTGATAGCTTCCCCTGATGTTTCTTGAAAATGCTTGCCTCAATGGCAAAAGAATCAGGCAAGACTGTGAAAAGCATTTGCTTACTTCCTGCATAATGAGGAAATTGAGGTTCCAAGTGTCTAAGCAACTTACTGATATTTCACTTTCAGAATATCCTGTAGAATAAAATAACAGTAGTTAGAATTTTTTGAACATCTATTATGTGCTAGGCACTCTGTTATCTATGCTATAAACTCATTCACTAATATCTACCCTGCAAAGAAAGAAGGATCTTCTTTTTTAAAGATGAGTGAATGTTATAAAAAGAGAAAATTAGAGGATAAGAAAACAGAAGGGTGTGATAAAGACAAATCATAAATTTCTAAGATTCAGCCTCTGGAAGTCAAACATAATCAGAGCCTTAAAAATTATCCTGGTCCAGAGTGGTTGTAGGGCCCAAGTATCAGCAAGACCCCTATGGTTCTGTTGTGCCTGATACAGGCTGTTGAGGACAAACCAAAGTCCTATTACTCTGGACAGGTAGGAAGTGGATGGCAAAGACCCTTGGCTCCTTGTCTTTGCCCCTGGCCAAGTTAAGCTAAGGATGCTTATAAAGGCTGTCTAAACTGTTAACTAAAACATCCAAGTTATCCAGAGCTTCTTGAGGGGTAGCTATACACGGAGGCAGGAGACGAGAATAATAGCGGATCACCAAAATTAAGTAATTTACTTAAGGTTGAATAGCTAAATAAGTAACAGGGTCAGGATTACAGCCCAGGTCAGTCTTACTGTACTATACCAAAACAGATACAGAATTAATATCCAGCAACATTTTATTTTATTAATGTAAAAAAGCTATGGTTTTTTGAGTCGAACCAAAAAGAAGGCTGAGCACCAAAGAATTGATACTTTTGATCTGTGGTTCTGGAGAAGACTCTTGAGAGCCAGGTGGGCAACAAGGAGATATAACAGTCAATCCTAAAGGAAATCAACCCTGAATATTCATTGGAAGGACTGGTGCTGAAGCTGAGGCTCCAACACTTTGGCCACCTGATGTGAAGAGCCAAATCATTAGAAAAGACCCTAATGCTGAGAAAGACTGAGGGCAAGAGAAGAAGGGGGTTTCAGAGGATGAAATGGTTGGATGGCATCACCGACTCAATGGACATGAGTTTGAGCAAACCCTGGGAGATAGTGAAGGACAGGGAAGCCTGGCGTGCTGCAGTCCACAGGATTGCAGAGTCAGGCACAGCTTAGTGACTGAACAACAACAACATTTTATTAAGTTGTGCTAAGTAAATCTGAATAACTGAAAAATCTCAATTATATATTTAACAACACAATAAGCTGAGTCATATGTCTATGATAATTCCTCAGGCAAACTTGCTTTAATAAACAGTCAAGAAAGCTTTAGCAATCCAAAGCTTATACAAAGATGCAATTCTTGAATGCTCAAGAAGTCTTGAGAATTCTTTAGACTCGTAATTGGTTTAATAATCGTTCTTAAACATCCTTTGTAAACCAAATCATTTCATAAGGGAGAAGTAGAAGTAAATTTCAGTTTGGTCCCTGTCATAGGGATTGCAAACCTAAATGTCTCCAGGGACCAAGCTGGTAACCTAAATGTTACAGTAAAGATAATAGAGAGGATTAAGATGACAGATGAAAGGAGTCTTGAGAGCTGTATTTGAGAATAATGTTGGGTCCCATTGCCTTTTAAAAACTAGGTGTGGTAGTAGGGGTGGTGGAGCTTCACTGTATAACAAAAACCAAAGAAGCTGTAGGACTAATGGGTCACCCATCCTAGCCCTGGGCTTCCCTGGTGGTTCAGCTGTTAGGAGTCTGCCTGCAATGCCGGAGATGCAGGAAATACAGGTTCTATCCCTGGGTGTGGAAGATTCCCTGGAGGAGGAAATGGCAACCCAATCCCGTATTCTTGCCTGGAGAATCACATGGACAAAGGAGTCTAATGGACTACAATCCATGGGGTCTCAAAGAGTGGAATGTGACTGAGCACACATGTAGGCAATCACAGCCCTAACACAATCATCAAATACATTTAATAAAGTCCAAATTAATGAGAGTTTTTGTTTAATTAAAAAAACAATTTAAGGGTCTATATAGTGTTTTGTCAAATGGGAATATTCTCAGACTGATATTTAATTCAATGCATAAGACTGAAGTATTAATATAAAACTCTGACTCACATATATATACCTAAGAATTTGATAACATATCTGCCTAAAAATGCAACAAAAACTACAACTATCCCACCAGTGATATTTACAAACAAACTGGTGAAATAGTGGCACACAATTCCTAATTACTGATGGAGGAACCTAGAAAAATAAAATTAACTGACTCAATGTGCACATCAAAAACACACAGGGAAACTAAAATTAAAAGTTGTTCATTTCCAATCTTGGCCATTTCATGTTTATCTTTCACTTCATAGGTGAGCATTTCATTTATATTTTTAAGCCTGGAATCAGGTTTACTAGCTAAACCATTGTAAAGACCAATGAGAAGGAGGTGATCTTAGTCATCATCTGAAAGATCTATGACTGTTTTTCCATCACTGGAGTGAAAAAGTCTCATGCAACCAAGAAAGAGAGTGACTGTATTGGCCCTCAAATTCCAAATGACCTTTAGCTATTTCTTCATAAATATCCATCTTGATAAAATACTTTAAATTATAGTTGAATTGTTCATTCATTCAACAAGTACTATTCAAGTCCTTATTAGGGACAGTGGAAGGTACTGAGGATATGGTGGTGATCCAATAGATGTGTTCTATTCCCTCATGTGTTTTATAGTCTAGTAGGGAAGGTGGATGAATGAAGAAAGCAAACATATATAATGACTGGTTTTAGTAAGTCTGACAATGGAAAGAATAGGAATCTTGAGAGAGAATAACAAGGTTACATGATTTAGTTTGAGAGTGGGGAGGACAGTGGGATGGTCAGGCAAGGCTGAGTGGAGCTGAGATCTGAAGGATAAGTACGAGTCTGGTGGAGAAGAGTGGAAATGCTATTGAAAGCAGAGTAAACAATGTACAAAACTTTGATGTGGGAAAGGACTCAGCCAGTTCCAAGATGGGCAGGTATGGCTGCAGCTACAAGGATTCCGAACAGGATGGTGGGAGATGAGGATAGACAAACAGGCAAGAGTGGATGAATCAGAACCTTGAAGGTAATGGTACACTAGTTGTAATGTGAAGCCTCCAGAAGGTTATAAGGGAGGACAACCTGATTTACATCTAAAAAGCTGGCTATTGTGTACAGAAGTGGGGCAAGACTGGATGCAGAGAGGGGAAGAGGAAAGCACTAGCTGTGGTCCAAGGAAATGATAGTCATCATTTGGACAGAAGTCATGATAAAGGGAAAAAGTGACCATTTTAAAGATAGAATTTTAGATGGAATATCAGGACTTGTTGATGGAAAAACTACCAAGAATGTTTCTCTTTGTCTCATCCATTGCCAATAATAAACATGTATAGTGGATCGCTTTTAATAGTATGTATGTGTGTATGTGTTGTGTGAACATGGATATGCACATATATGACAAGACATCATGTTCAGATTTAATAGGAAATGTGAAATGCATTTATATAAACAAATTTAGAAAAGCTTCTTTGATGCCACACAGGTAACGTTCCATCGAAACAATTACCATTACAGTGTGATGAAATTACACGTCTCACAAAGACATTTTTAAGCTTATATGAAGAATAGCTTACAGTTCAGGTATCATCTGATTTTTAAAAGATGCCAAAACAATAAATGGATTTTATTCCTTTTATTTTGCTCATTTCCCATCATCCTCATCCGTTGTCTACCAGTGATAAGCAAAATAGACAATGAATAAATTTTATTACTTTAAATGTCTCTTTAGCCGCTTGAGATAATTGGCCATTAAAAAATTATATATGTGTATACATATGCATATATGTATACATAGATATACATACACAGATATATACAGAGTTCTGGGATTCAATCTATAAACATATCTGAATAACAATAATTTCTCTACAGTGCTTCCCTCTTGCTAAGGTACATCTCTCATCTAAGAAAAACATGTTAAGACACCTACATCTTTAAAAAATTTGTGGAAAATATATTTACCAGCAGAGAAGTTGGGGATTTGGCAGGACGTGTTCTAACCTGCTGAAATTTATCACCCGAAAAGTCAGAGCAGCTGGCGATGGGTTGTTGGCAAAGTGTCTGGTGATCCCGGCAGGAAAAGACAACACCATTTCTCCAGTAATCTTCACAATACATCTGGCATGTCACAACACGTGAGAGGAAAGAGAGGAAACCCAGGTCAACATGCTGTGAATCAAAGCAGTTGTGAAAAGCAAAGATTTCTGTAATACTATGACATAGCAGAAGTGAGAAAAAGTAAACTCTTACAATTCACTCTGAATTGCTAAGTCATTTCTAAGACTTGAGGACTCAAAGTTTTGTATTAACACTCCAAAAGGTGGCGATTTTGTTGAAGGTATTTTTGCATTGTTAGAATAACAGGACAGCTTTTCTTTTCCTGTAGAAAAGTCTGTATGTTCACCTCACAAAAAGAATAATTTATCCTGGTGGTTCTCTCTCTCTTTGATTTCTGAATTGTTGGCAGTATATTTGAAGATATTAAACTACACAGCATTGTCACACTATTCACTGGGATTTATTTTAGCTTTCTGAGTAACACAATTGATGCCTTCAGTACGTTCTTTTATGGACTCAAGGGGTAAACTTTTTGCTTCCCACTTAATTAGATCTTCATTCCGTTAACTTGTCTATTTGGTTGAAACTATAAAATCAGTCCCATACATAAGTTAATCAGCTGGATGATAATTTGGAAGGAAGAATAATCTTTTTTTTTTTTAAAAAGCTTTATTTAGCATCACTAATTACTAGAGAAATGCAAGCCAAAACTACAATGAGATATCACATCACACTGATCAGAATGGACATCATCAAAAAATCTATAAAGGCTGAGGAAGGTATGCAGGAAAGGGAACCCTTCTACACTGTTGGTGGGAATCTAAATTAGTACAACCATTATGGAGAACAGTAAGGAGGTTCCTTAAAAAACTAACTATAGAACTACCATATGATCCAGCAATCCCACTTCTGGGCTTATATTGGGATAAAACCATAATTCAAAAAATACATGCACCCCAATGTTCACTGAGGCACTATTTACAATAGCCACGACAGGGAAGCAGCCTGAATGTCCATCAACACAGACGTGAATAAAGAAGATGTGGTACATATATAATAGAATGGGATATTACGCAGCCATAAAAAGAATAAAATAATGCCATTTGCAGCAACATTGGATGAACCTAGACATTTTCATCACATATCGCTTATACATGGAATCTAAAAACATATGACAAATGAACTTACTTATAGAACAGAAATAAAGTCACAGATGTAGAAAGCAAACTTATGGTTACCATGGGGTAAGGAGGGGAGGGATAAATTGGGAGGTTGGGATTGACACAGCAAAAATCTGTGTAAGATAGATAACTAATAAGGACCTCCTGTACAGCACAGGGAACTCTACTCAATACTCTGTAATGATCATATGGGAACAGAATCTAAAAAAGAGTAGATATGTATAAAGGCATAACTGATTCACTTTGCTGTATACCTGAAACTAACACGACATTGTAAATTAACTGTAGTCCAATAAAAATTAAAAAGGGCCTTATTGAAATATAATTGATATACTGGCACTTATTTATAGTGTAAAGTTCCATAATTTTTGACATAATCTACATCTGTGAAACGATTACACAATCCAGATAGTCAAGATTTCCACATCCCTAGAAGTTTCATCTTGTGTTTTTTTTTTCTCTCCTGTAGTTTTCCATCCTTTCCGCCTTATCTCTTGGCAATTGCCAATATATTTTCTGACAGTACACATTAGTTTGGACTGTCTAAAATTTTATATAAACAGAATCAAAAGGTGTGTGATTTTTTTGATCTGGCTTTTTCCACTTGGCATAATTATTTTGAGATTCACTCACATAGTGTGGCAATCAATAGCTCATGTCATGTCTTTTTATTGCTGGGTAGAATATGGATATACCATAGGCAATTTTAAAAAATTCATTTATTGAATAACATTTGAATTCTTTCCATTTTTTTTTGCCTATTACAAATAAATCTGTGATGAATATGTGTGTACAAGTCTGTCTCTGGGCACATGCTCTTATTTCTCTTGGATAAATATGAGTGAAATGATTGGATCACATAGTAGGTGTACCTTTAACTTTTTAAGAAACTGCCAAACTGTTTTCTGAAGTGGAAAACATAGCTGAGTATGAGAGTTTTAATTCCTTCACATCCTCACCAACACTTGGTAGCTCTGTCTTTTTAATTTTAGTCATTCTAATAGGTGAGTAATGGTTTCTCATTGTTGTTTTAATCTGCATTTCCCTAATGGCTAAGGATGTTAGCATCTTTTCATGTGTTTCTTTGTGATTTATCTACTTGGATGAAGTGTCTGCTCAAACTTTCTGCTAAGTTTATAAACTGAGTTTTCTGTTCTCTTACTGAATTTTGAGAGTTTTTTGTACATTCTAGATACAAATATTTTTAACAGATACATGTTTTGCAAAGATTTTTTCCCCAGTCTGGCTTGTTTTTCTTTCCCTTTAGAGTATTAGTAACTTTGAAGACTTTTTTTTTTCTAAAGAGCAGAAATTTTAAATTCAATTTATTCTTTTGTGGGTTTTAATTAGTTTATTCTTTTGGAGTCTTATCTAAGAAATCATAGATAAACCTGAAAGTCACAAAAATTTCACCTATTTTATTCTAGAAATTTTTTATTTTTAGTTTTACATTCAGTGTTATTATCTATTTTTAGCTAATTTTTGCATATTTTCTGTGAGGTATAAGTCTGAGTTTATTTTTCAGTTGTGTGGATGAATATATCTCATCATCCTGCTATCATCTGTAGAATTTATCCACTTGGCAATTTTGTCAAAATTCAGTTGTCCACATATGTGTGGGTCTATTTCTAAATTCTCTGTTCTGTTCCATTGATCTATTTTGTCCATCTTTATACCAATACCACAACCAATCTGTCTTGATACTGTAGCTTTTAAATTGTTCTGAAATCAAGTAGCATTATTCTACCAACTTTGTTCTTTTTCAAAAATGTTTTGCCTATTTTAGGTCCTTGGTGTTTCCACATGAAATTTAGGATCTCTGTGTCAATTTCTAAATAAAACGAATGGAGTTCCAATTCACCCTCTACTGCCTGCTTTTAGAGAATTAGTATCGGGCCCTTCAGGCATGTATTTTTTCTAGGCCAACAGGCACTATGTTATATCTTGTCAGTAGAGGGCACTAGAGAAACATTGCAAAAATGAAGCAATTTTTTTTTTTTTTTCGTTCTTTTCCTCCTTGCAGTGTGCTTGCTAGGCAGGCTCCTTGCAGGACTCATGGCTAATCTAGAGCTAGGCTCCCGCAGTGCAGGACGGATGTGGTGCCCCAGGGTGTGGGTACTGCAACCCCAGTGACGCTGGCAGATTCTATAGCGTCTGGCTCCTGAGGCCCCTGTGGCTGGGCTGCCTCAGTGCCCAGACGGGGTCGGCGGCGCCAGACTCCTTCATGTGCATACTTTCTCCACTGCCAGATTCTCTGGTACCCGCCAGCCTTAGCTTCCTTGGGCACCCTCCTCAGCCAGTTTTGCAGTGTAACGTGCCTCAGTGAGACTTCTCCCATGAACAGCTGAGAGGCTGGTGGGCTCTCTCTATATCCATGGCCTGGATACTTCCCAGGAAGTCAGTCGGGGCAATCATAGGGCACGCTTCACCTCTCAGGGGCGACTATCCTTTCCCTGAGGTCCCATGTCTTGCAAATCATTGTTTCATATATTTTGTCCATTTTGAAGAGTTTTCAGGTAGAAGGGTCAATTGGTTACTCCATCTTGACCAGAAGCAGAAACCTCAAAATGATTATTCTTCTTTGGGAAATAACGAATAATAATAATGAATAATGAAAATAATAATGAATAATGAATAATGCGTGAACTTCTTTACAACTTTCGGATACATCTGGATAACTGACCCTTGCACTATTCCCTAGTGTACTTTCTGGGGAAACTGAGCTTGGTCAATGAAAACTTGGCTCACACTTGAATATAGAAAACTCTATTTATCCTATACTCACCTTGTGTGCTGTGTAACTGACTGATGAGACACAAATGACTCAGGTGAGATGGTCCTTGGTACACATTCAAAATAGCTTATGTGAAGAACTGCTATAGCCTTGTATGTGCAAAGTTGGGTTTGGCTTAGAGGTGGAGGGGCAGGTACGCTTTCTAAAGTTACCCTTTTCCCTCTCAGGTATTATCATCTCTAACTCTGAACTGCTCTAAATGAGAATTTTGGGGTCTGGAAGTTTGCCCCTCCCTCTCTCCCTGAGAATATTGCTGATCTCCCAGCTTGGTGTCAACTCTGCTGTCTTCCTTCTCTATGTGTTAGATTCATGAGCCTTGCTTGATTTACTGGTGATGAATTGGTACTAAGCCTGGAATTCCCCTTAAGCTGAGTCTACCCAATGTTTCCCAACATAGGAGACATGAAAAATTTTATTTGACAACTCTAGAAGAAGACAACAGCTAGCCGGAGCACTTTTAAAATTAGGCTGTGGCATCTACCATCACTCAGTATATTGTTAGCAGCAGTGGCGCGAATGTTTTTTATTTGGTAAAGACTCTGCTCAGTTTCTTTTCCAGGGTCTGCAAAATGAGCTCTATATGGTGTCATGGTAGAGCATACAGTTTGTTTTTTGAAAGCAAGTCATCAAGAGGAGGGGGTGGTATTTATTAATTCAATAAACATTTATTGACTCATATGTTAGTTGTTTGTTTGAGTGGGAAGGCAATTTAAAAATGAGCAAAAGAGCCTCTGTCTTCAAAGGGCTTACAATGTTGGGTGGATGATGAGAGAAGTAGTCAGTATGAGCCAATGTAATAAGCACCCAGGCTCCTGACCTACATTTTATTTCTGCACTTTATCTCAATTGTCACAGTCAGATCTTTGATGATTTATTAATCCATTCAATGTCTAAATCAATTTGAAATTTTCTATATATAATTAATATTTTCAACCTACACTCACTCATTAAAGGAAAGTCTTTGTTCAACAGTAATGACTGTCCTCATCAGTGAGTGATGTGGGTATATTTCATGTGAGTTTAAATCATGGAAATCTGAAACACTGCAATAAGGAAATATTAACACATGTACTTTATGAAGTAAA